TTACAATTCTAGAATTCTATGATTCCAGGATTATTCCTAGACTTCAGTGAAAAAACATGAGGTAGTATATACTTTCAAAATTTGAGTAAATGGAAACTGTTGATCCTTCCCATGATTTAATCTTCATTGAGTACTCACAAAAAGCTAAATTTGAGGGAGGCATCATAGAATTATGTAGACCATAGAAAATTAAATTAAATTTCCAACCCCAAATAACTTAAAAACTTGGTTCAGGGAGCAGCATTGGTGTCCAGTTACAGTTGGCGTTTTACTAATATGAACCAGATAATTGCCTCGGTTGCCAAATCTCCACTTCACACATTGGTTGTGACTACTTGGGGAACCAGATAAAAGTTTTGACTTGCTTGATTAACTCCATTGGAGTTGTAATTCCTCTCCACCTCCTAAGCCCTTATCCTTTGCTTCCATACCCACAAGGTGCCCAGGTCCAAAAGGATGAAAGTAGGCTTTAGGAAAGCTTGGAGAATGTCTTGGTCCTCTGTTTTGCCTCCATCCCTGCTTATAGACTTCCCTAAAACTTTAGCCTATTTAAATCACTATATGGGACATGTTGAGTGTACTTCTGGTATACCTGTCTCTCAGAAAGGCCCAGGTTAACTGCCAGCTCTGATTTTCTTCGGATAGTGATGTATCTATTGCAGTGGAATTCCTTTTCCAGCTCCAACCTTTGATGATCTGTGTAAACTACACGATACTTTTCTTTTGTCCTGGTTTTTCCTGTTAGGGAAGAAAGCATTGCATTTAATCTTATTCTGCTTCTTTGGAGATTGTTTTGGTTGAAGAAATCACAGCCACTCTTCCTACCTTCATGTATTACTTTAAAATATAAAGCAAGTATATTTTTAAAGCAAATATTTGTAAGTCTATTTCTCCATTAAATACATTCTCATCTGTGGTCATGATATCAGTATCTCTATCTGTGTCTGTCTATCTGTTATCATGTATAGATATAGACATATATCTCTATATCTATATCTCTCTGTATATATGAAACCGCCATCCCTCTAATTAATGTTTCCCCTAAAATGATCAGTCAAATCACGAACTTTCTACCATTGACCTACTATTACACCAAAGCATTAAAAAAAAAAACAACAATGGGCACACATGGGCACAAAGAAATTTAAAGGACATTGGAAACAAGGGAGGTGGATGGGAGGGGAACGAGGGATAAAAACTTACCAGTTGGGTACAATAAACACTATTCTGGTGATGGGCACACTAAAAGCCCCAACTTAAGCATTGTACAATGTATCCATGTAATAAAAACATTTGTGCCCCCTTAGTATTTTGAAATAAAAAAAGTGAAAAAAATGCTTAAACATTTAATCCATGATTTTCAACTTCCTTCCCACTTACATTGGGGCATAGCATTGCAGTAGTAGCAACACCCATTATACCTGCACTTCCTATTACATTTTGTGCAGTTCTTTCATACTATTTCCCATTAAACCTATTACCTGCCTTCTTGAATTATGTAGAACATGTCTTATCCCCAGTTTACAGATAAGGAACCTGAGACTCAGTGAGGGTAAGTAAGTGACTTTGTGCTAGTGAGCTGAGGAGAGGGGACCCAAACACATAATTTTGACTACTACTTCAGTGTGCTAAATGTTATTCCAAGTTTAAACATGCTGGGAAGCATAAGGATGGCCCAACTGTACAAACTATTTTGGGATCCTTACATTATAGTTACATATATTCCTCAGACAAAATTTGGTTTCGATAGTAATTTAAAAAGAAAACATTTCCTGTCACTTAGCAGATTCTATTTCAGAATAACCCCATTACCTATTAGAAAAAATAGTTTTTATGTAACAGTCTTAAGCCAATTTTTATTCCCAGTGTATTGAATAGGGGAAGGAGGGGGTGTTGACTTAAGCAGAATAGAGTGAGTATTCCATGCCCTTTGAAAGAATATCCAAACATTTGCTTTGTGTTACAACATTTAACTAATTTCTCATGCCCTCCTTCAAATAGAGTTTTATTCCTCCTTTCAAATTTTCCAAAGGTAATTAGCAAGTTTCCTTTTCTTTTCAATTTCTCTGACCCCCTCCAGGATCTTCCTCCTTTTTCTCTATGGCTTTTAGAAACTCCTTCTGATCTTCCCTGGTTGTTTTTGATGTGAAGTTTTGGGGGGCGATCTGTAGGACAAAGCCTTCTTTAAAGTGGTTACCTAAACTCCATTGAGGTGTTAAGATGCAGCGCAGGCCTAACAAAGGAGCTACATGGCATCAGATTCCATCCTGAACCCTCTTTACATTCAGGAACACCAGCCAATTGGTTTGGAATTTACAAGCCCTAAACAAATGTCAGACGCCCTTTCATCTCCAGGAAAGAAAAAAAAGAGAGAACATGAATGTAGAAATAATTTCTAGATGAGAGATATATCTTATGATTCAACTAAATGGCTGAATAACTCACGGACTTATGAACTAAATAAAATCACTCCCCATTCCCATAAATGGAAAATGATGAGACCTAGTCAGTTAACCTACCTTAAAGTTCCAAATTTTGAGCTGGTTTTCTGAATCTAAACAGAAATCCAGGAAACCAGAGGTCTAGCTTTTGGTTATTGCAAAGACAGAATTTATATTTGGGAACAAAATGAAAACCTTGAAGTTTAATTTATTTCCAGAA